TTATCTACCACAGTAATCATGTAAGTCGCCCTCCATTAGTAGATATATTAAGCGACTGAAGTTAAAGATTCTTATATTTTGCCTGAAATGTCTGATAATAAAACCTTCTTGTTGATTTATTATCGACGTATAATTATCGAAATTTGATACAAACAAATCCCATTTATCTTTGAATTTATCTTTTTATCTTTACGCGGCTATGTTAAGGCTGTCCGAAGGCTAAATATGCATTAGAAATACGCTATAATATTTTGAGCTAGATTTTGATTTCAATTTGTAATCTATGCATACATGTGCAGCAAATTTGTGAAGAGAGTTTAATAACGTATCGAGAAAAAGCATATTTGTGATGTCACATGACTGTGTTGATCACGTGAGGAACACTTATAAAATTTCCTAATTGTTGCACAAAAATCCCATCGGCACAAGTGAAAAACAAAATTATTGAGAACAGTTTGTTACATAAATCAATTAACCATATTCTTGAGTACATATAAAGTGGTGGGGGCAAGTCTGAGTTTTCCTTCTTAAGAAAATATTTCACGAGAAATTCAACTTACCCACGTACAAGGGGGCATTTTCCACTCTTCATCGCAATTTATACAAAATAGGATAAATTACATACAATCCCCCAGCAAAATTCAGTTTGAAGATGCACTTCTCTAGTAGATTCACATAGAACATCTTCAGTTTATCTTTATTAATCATTTGTGCCAGTCTAATAAATGCATGATTGATAAATTCTAACTCTGTCCAAGGATATGTTAGGGGGGGGGGGGTTCATATTCATTTTTGTTATTGTTTGAATACGTACATTATCAGAAAGAAAAAGGAATAACGATATTGTATTGCAAATAATCACCATCATAACAGCACATAGAAACTGCAAACAACAATTCAGACACCTGATTTAAACTTCAACATCTACAAGCCATGGGAAGGAATGTCAAAGTTATGACACTTTCCCCGTCATGACAGCTCAAGTTTGCAGTGACTTGACGTCATATTCTATTATGACGTCATATCTTGGTAGTTCAGAGAAGTAACAACGGCTGGTACACTGTGATATTTGTCGGACAGCCTTATCATAGCCGCATATTTCTTTCCTCAAATTTCGCGAGTTGTGTACATGTGCACAACTTGCAAACTTTGAGGAGAGAAAAATTAAGCTTCATTTTTGATGCCGTTCATGTTCCGATTGTCCGAGTATCCGATGTGAGCAATATTTTAAATAAACGTAAAGATTTCTACGACAGCAAGATATATTTATATATCTCCACTGTAAATAATTTCAAAATTAATTTGATAAGAAAATGGATATTATGAAATCAATCTGTTGATTTCTACTTAAATTCTGTTATAAGATGCAGCCTCAACAAATGAACTTTAAAATAATGAATATATAAAATTAATTATATTGAATTAACAATTTGAAGATTATTTAACTTATTTTTAAGAGCTTGAAAATTTTTTAGTCAGTCAAAATATGTATCAATTTCAGTCCAATTTGAGTTAAACTAAATAAGCTGGCAATATTTTGCATGTTCAAACCACTGATTATTTTGATTGTTCATCCATTTATTTCTATTTGTTTATTTAATCACTTCTTGAAGAATGAGTTACCGTGATTGCAAAATATTTGACAATCATTGCATTTATAATTGTATATATTCAGAAAAAAAAAAAGATTTTGTATGTGCAGGAAGAACTAAACAAGTGAAGAAGTTAACAATAAAAATTCAAAATTAATGAATAAATCGGTGAATATCAAAGATCAATGAATATAAAAAATATTTTTAAAATTAAAAGCATTAAACACATTTAACCAGACTGGTTTATCTTTTTTTTCAATCCATAATTAAACAAAAGGTGTGAGTAAATTAAAATAAAATAAAATAGTAATACTTACTTATTATCAATACGATAAGATACATCTAAAACGTCATTGTATTTCGTGAGTAAACTTCACTAAAAATACTTTATAAATAACTAATCCTCTGAAGGTTTTGCAAAAATTATGTTTCCCACATGAAATATTTTCATATAAATAATTCTACCATAGATTGGTCATAGAAATAAGAATATTTTAGAAATTTTTATTTTATATTTTTTATTTATATTTATTTTTTTTTTAAGGAAAATGAAATTAAGCAGTCTTTAAAACAAAAAGAAATCAAATTAAGACTTCCGCAGTCTCTACAGAGCCAGAATAATAGGGACAACACTTTTGTCAGCACTTCTCTATGTTTCCCAGCAGGGACAGTAAACAGATAAATTTATCAGCACCGACTTAGATTGTCAGCACTTTTCTATGTTTATAAACACTTACAGTAAAAAGGTCTCATTACAGCCTCGACCAACACAATTTGACGAAAAGGTTACGCATAGTGCATAAAATGCCACATGAACAATGGAATGCTAAATTTTGTATATCTTTTAAACTAAGATTCATTTTGTAACTTAAAAAAAAAAAAACAACGTTTATATTGCTTCAAAATTGAATTGATAAGCCAAAAGAAGACCACAAATGTAGAGTATAATAAGTACTAATGGGCTTTGAGCAGATTAATATTTATAGTGCAACCTATCATTGGATCATATTTTTTCTGATATATTCCATGTCAATTGTTAAGGCATTTTAGCTCACCTGAACCAAAGGCTCAAGTGAGCTTTTCTGATCAAAGAGTGTCCAGGGTCCGTCGGTCGTATGTCGTCTGTAAACTTTTCAGATTTTCGACTCTTCTTTAAAACCACTGCGCCAATTTCAACCAAACATGCCAAAAAGCATCCTTGGGTGAAGGGAATTCAATGTTTTTCTTACGGAGTACCACGCCCCCTTTCAAGGGTAGAAAATTAAGAATTCCTGAGGATTTGGTGGTATCTTATAGAAAATTTTCTTTTCAAGAACCACTGGGCAAGAAAAGGTGAAACTTATCATCAAGTACTCTAGATTCAAGTTTGTTCATATCATAATCCCCGGAGGAAGGGCGGGACCACAAGAGGGGGTCGAGGTTTTACATAGGAATATAAAGGAAATGCTTTTAAAAATCTTCTCTAGAATAGCAAATCCATGATAAGTCATATTATAATAGAAGTAGTGTAGATTCAAGTTTGTTCCAATCTTGACCCCCGGGGGTAGGGTAGGGCCATAACAGGGGGTCAAAGATTACCATAGGAATATATAGAAAATATCTTTAAAATCTTCTTACCAAGATCAGGTAAACTATTATGTCATATTAATACTGAGATATCCTCAAGAAGTGTAGATTCAAGTTTGTTCAAATCATGACCCCTGGGGGTTCATTATGTTCTACTGGAAGAGATTGTTCTATTTCTTTTTTAATATCTGATAAAATGTTTTCTGTCATGTTATCATTTATTTACATTATTCTTTCAGCCTTTTTTCAAATAAATACTTAAATCTTAAATTAAAAAAACGAAACCTTCTATGAAATTTACCGACAAAATCCAAATACGTTTGAGATTTTGCACATAACTAGGCCTTTACGACCATCTCTACTTAGTGAGAGTATTATGCAATGTTTAAAAAAAAATAACTTAAACACGCAAAGGCCCATAGGCCGCAACGCTCACCTGAGCCATTACATGGCCCAGATGTTTTTTATCAGAAGATTTTAAATCATTGACTATATATTCCTTCGTAAAACTTTTACCAGCTTTTGTGGTCCCAAGCTACCTCCGGGGGTCATGATTTGAACAAACCCGAATCAAGTCTACCTGAGAGAATGTTTCAATATCAATATGACTAATCATGCCTTTGATGTTCCTGAAAGAAGATTTTTAAATATTGATTCCTATATAGCGTGTAAAATTTCATCGTCCAGTGTGACCCTACCAAACCCCCGGGGTTCATAATTTGAACAAATTTGAATCTACTCTACTTGAGATTGCTTCCATTTCAATATGACTTATCATGCCATTGCTATTCTTGCAAAGCAGATTTTTTAAGATTATTTTCCTATTTATTCCTATGTAAAACTTTTATCGCCCATTATGGTCTCATCATACCCGGGGGGGGGGGGGGGGGGTCATAGTTTGAACAAACTTCAATCAACACTACTTGAAAATGCTTCCGTATTTATATAACTTATCATGCCTTTGCTGATCTTGAGAAGAGTATTAAAAAATGTACCCTAAATATATCTATGTAGAACTTTAATCTCCGACTGCTAACCCACCCTTTCTGCGTTGTCATGATTTGAAGAAATTTCAATCTACACTACCTGATGATCCTCCCATATCAATACGACTAGTCATGCCTTTGCTGTTCTTGAGAAGATTTTTTAAAGATTGTTTCCTATATATTCCTATGTAAAACTTTGATCGATCATTATGGCCCAACCTACCCTCGGCCCTCATGATTTAAAGAAATTTGAATCTACACTATGTATTGAGGTTTTCACATAAGTTTCAACTCTTCTGGACCAATTGTTCATGAGAAGAAGATTTTAAGGACTTTTCCTATATATATTCTTATGTAAAACTTTAATCTCCCATTCTAGCCTAACCCTACCCCCAGGGGTCATGATTTGAAGAAACTTACAACTACATTTATGGTATGTAATAAAGCTTTCACGAACGTCTCATCTTTTTTTGGTCCAGTGGTTCTTGAGAAAAATATTTTTGAAAGATGCCAATAAATTTTCACTGATTCATTATTATCTCCATTTGGAAGAGTGTGTGGCCCTTCATTTGAACAAACTTGAATTCCCTTAATCCATGGATGATTTGTGACAAATTTGGTTGAATTTGACTAAGCAGTTCGGAGAAGAATATGAAAATGTGAAGAGTTTACAACGATGACGACGAGAGAGCAACGCACAAATTTTGATCACAAAAGGTCAATGGAGCAATTGTTGCTCTGGTGAGCTAAAAATGTTTAGTTTGATTTTTTTTTTCTGACTGGAAAATGGTTTGTTGAAGAAAGCACAAATGTTTTTTTGTTTTTCTACATTACGAGAACATAATCATTTCTATTTACAGACAACATTGCATTAAACAAGATCGCCTCGCAGCAGTATTCGTTTCCCAACACACGATGGGGAGCAGATAGAGCAGTGGATGGTCGGTATTCAATCCGGAGAGCTACCGGAGGACAGTGTACATTGTCCGGCATCGAAAAACAAACTGCAACCTGGTGGGTGGATCTAGGAGGAGTACTCAGTATATATCATATAGCGATATACTACAGGACAGACAATGTCCCATGGGGTACTGTATAAACCGCTGGTTTAAATTCATTGATGTATTTTTTTTCATTGTTCTTTCTTCACTTTTGCAATGAGGATGCAAATACATTTGTTTTCTTTGCATTCTTCTTCATTGAATGCGAGTACATTTTGCAACAAAGGTCACTAATTAATTAAGCCATTAGTAACTTATAAAATTAATTATTTGCTTCGATTTATTTGCAAAAAAATAGTTATCCAAATCTATCACAAACTTTGTACATTAAACGTAGACAGATATAATAACGTCATGTTGTTTTCCGGGGGAGTGGGATGAATGGGTACTCACCTATTTATGATAAAGCCATAAAATGTCCAAACCCGGAAAAAATGGGAAGGGGGTAAACAATTTAGCACAAACATTTTAATTTATCAAACATCTACTTGTTTCATTATCAATCTAATATGGAGATGACGAACACTAATCATGCTGATTCATAGAAATCTTAAAGACTAAATTATTTAAAAAATTTTATTTCTCCAGTTAGAATAAAAGGAAATTTAAGTTAATTATAACCAAATAAGTTTAAGATCAATTTGTTTCAAAATTAATTGTACAAATTATATGTGAAAGGTTAACATTATTGTTCGTCGATCAATAGATTTTAGTTGGAATTTTATACAAACCTTATTTACTATTCATCAGAAATTTGTTCGTGGAAATGGAAATAATTCATTAGAACATCTCTATATATAACTTTTATCCATTAACCGTAATATGATACCTTTAACTGCAAGTTCGGTACCCTTAGTTTTGTTTCTTTTATTTTTATTTGACTTTTATTCTCAACAAGTTAAAGTATAACGTCACAACTAAAACCTCCGTGGCTAGATTCCTATATAAAATATAGAAAATCTGATCATTGAACAATGAAATATGATGACAACGAACACTAAGCATACTCAAAAGTCCATTGAATCAGCACAAATTGTGCGCAGAGCAAACAGGGACCTCTTGAATCATCAGAGGCGGAATCAGCTGCCATTGCGTCTCTTGTTCAATTGTTTAGACTCACAAAGATAATGAACTTCTTTGCATCTGGAAACTTAAAACGTTGGATCCTATTTCACTACATAATGTGTTTAGTTACATTTCATTATATTTCACTAGAATCTGCTGACAATATTTTCCCAGGACGCTTTCTTGGATTTTCGGTATACATCTCGAACACAACCGACAAAGATGAGGGGCTTCTATGTTTTAAAGATACAAACTTCACAAGAACTACAATACCGAGTGATGTTACAGTAGAATGTGTAAACCATGGACGATATGTCATTTATTACAACGAGCGACTCCCATGTGTTACATACCCTGTTGATTATTCCAAGTACGCATACAACGAACTTTGTGAACTTGAAGTTTACGGTAAGAAGAAAATAGAAAACAACCTAGATATATTCAGCTTAAACGCCTTTGATAACGTATTATCAAAGAAGTTAAAATTAACAAATTCCTGATATGTTTAGTTATATGTAAAGCACATTTATGTTGTTTATAAAATATGCTCATACCCAAAGTCAGCTGAAAAGATCCTTAATTTTGATCACATTCTGTGTAAATCTCAGTTATCATAAATACTAGGTTTGTCCAAAATTTTGAAGACTCATGCTTAAAAAAATGTATCTTTATATGATTTCCGGGTGTATACAGAATGCTTCTGGTTGTTAAAAACGAAGTTTTAATCTTGATTACTTGAAAAAAAATCAATTTTTAGTTTACTAACATAACCGTGTCCTACCACCGAGCACAATGTCAGACGTCCAAGGACATAAACGCCAAGGGTATTGATTTTTATGAAAATAAGCTAATTCCCAAAATGACATAAAACTTTCTGATATACATTCAAAATATTTTGTCATTGTTATATGATATAACATTCAAATTTTCAAATGAAGTATAAAATGTTTTAACGATTAAAAATACTTATATGTTTCTTATTTTCAATCTGTCATCTCAAATTTAAAGCAGTTTTCAAAATGTCTGTTTGATTGAATGTTTCATTTTTTGTTCTTTTACGTTCCATTCGAGAATTTTTCACTCATATAGAGACGTCAGCATATACCGGTGAAGGGTTCAAATTAAGACCTATATTTGGAACTCAGGGTCATTGAGTATTCAGGGTACTTTATCGTGCCACCTCCGTCACACGGGACCTCGGTTTTTAAAATTTCGCTTGGCGAAGGAACAGTTACCACCTAACTTTATGTCTTAGATTTCACGCGGCGCAGCGAACGAAAATCACAGTGTCTATTTCTTTCCACCGTGTTTCTCTTGGCTTCATTTCTTCACACACCCCGGACAAATTAAGTCATTTGATACCTAAGTGCTGGGAAATATTAAGGTGTCCTTGACACGTGTGATTTCTTATGTAGAGTGCATCAAGTTACGAACAACATCTAATGCAAGCTCATGTCAATGCAGCATCCATCTTTTAAACGTCATTATTCAATAAGAAGAAAAAATGAAATCTATAATCGTCAGTTGGTATTGAAATATGATCCCCTTAAGAATGCAACAAGGTGAATATAGCTGTTTATAATCATCAATTACATCAATTAATATTCAATTAGGATGCCCAACCTTGGGTTTTTATGGAGAAAACTGTGACTTAGCATGTCCACGGAACTGCCAGGAAGGTCATTGTAACATTGTGAGTGGAAGTTGTCTGGGGTGTGTTACAGGTTACAGAGGATCACGATGTGAAGAACGTACGTAAATATTAAAGTCAGATCATGAGAGAGAGAGAGAGAGAGAGAGAGAGAGAGAGAGAGAGAGAGAGAGAGAGATCAATAAGTATTTTCTTTGTTTCATTGAGAATAAAAATCTAGACAAATTCCATCTTATATACCTATCAAGTAGGTATACATGATTGATGCCAATACAATATTTTCTGTACAACTTTATCTAAAATCGAAATAAATATTATCTGTCGCATTGTTAATCCTAGGTCTATGAAGTTTTCAACTTTTTGATAATATTTTTTCATGGCTTTTTATATTGCCTAAATTGATTACAGTAATAATGTAAGATTTCAATGATCACTTATCGGCATTTCTTAATTTACAGAGTTTGATAATATATAAACATGTAGTGCATGTTTTCGAAGGTAACATTTGAAATTGACACCTCAAGGAAAACCATTGTCAACCGTCAGCGCTTTTTATTTTATTATACCGAATGCTTATTGCTGTAAAATGTTAGGAAAAAAATCGGAGATTGTCGTTAAGTTCACGTTTAGAAAGCTTTCAAACTCCATGCTTCCGTTTTTCTCAATAAGAAAGCTTTGAAAAAGATTTACCGACCTCTTTATATTTTGTTTGATACGCAGAGATTCCTTTATCATCTAAAGTTTCGTTATTTTTGCACTCGCAAGCATGTTTTTGTCTTGTTTTTAATCAAGCTACATCGAACGCAAGCTTTGCTTGACGTCGTTTTTTTTTTTGGCTTCTTTTAAAAGCACAACTGACATTTTGAAAATTCTACGGCGAATCGGACGCGCATAATTTGCACGCACGTTGTTATGTTACCCGTTATCAAGTGTGTTGCAAATATTGAGGGAACGTTACGATTTGCTAAATGCGCGTAAGCCAATCAGATTTTAGTATTTAACATGAAATTATAATAATAATATATAATGGCTTTTTGTGTAGCATGACTTGTGGCAACTGTAGTAATGGAGAACAATGCAATCACTTGAACGGAAGTTATCCAAACGGATGTGACGCGGTGCTCAAGGTGAAATGTGTGACAAAAGTGAGATAATATCTTTCTGAATAACCCATTTTTTTTTAAATATAATGTTTCTAAATGGTGCTTTCAAATAAAAAAATCGGGTTTTAAAAGGTGAAAGAAAAAGTGATTGCAGTTCTGCAATGGCAGGAAAACTAGGAACGTTTTGGACAGATTACTCAAAAATAAAGTAAGGATTTCCCGCCCAGTAAATCTAAAGAAAAACATTTTTTTTTTTGTTTTCCACGTGCTTGTAAACATTAATTCAAAATTTCTAACACGTCATTTATCTCATGGACTAAAGTAGCTCCATAAGATATACCCTTACTAGTACCGAATAACTATAAAATGATTAAAGGTGTACATGTAACTGGTATGCACATGATTCTATTTTTCATTGATGCTTTTTTATACGTCAAGATCAGATCTCTAGTACAGATATTATTTGTTCATCAAAATAAGTTGTCTAACGACAAACAGTTTAATTGCAGCATCAATTTGGATACCCTAATCATAGTTAAGTTTCAGAGTACATGTAAAACTTATGAATGAAAGCCTTTATTTTCTGACATAATGAAAAAAAGCAATCTTAGCTGTAAAATATTTATTTTGCGGAATTTTCCTATTCTAAATCACTGGTCTCTTACTTAAAAGTGTGACATATGCTTTTTACCACTGTCCTTCCCTTTCCAATGTCTTAGTTTTTCAACACAGATACAGTTTTAATTAGGTGTTGACATGTTTCATGAAATATGCTTCTGTATTATATTTCAACTACAAACTTTGGTCAATACTCCTAACTATAAAAAATCGCATTAAATAAACCTTCCACTGGTTTTCATATGGTATGTATCCGAAGGGAAAAAATCGCTTAAATTAAATATGATGTAATCTTTCATTTATGAAAAGGTTTCCGAGGGTATGAAATTATACCACCTAGAGATATATTTTTCATGAACCTAATACATGTACGATTAATGAGAATGTTGTTGTAATAAATTTAAGTCTATGATTCGATGACGTTTCTTAATTTATAATGGGTAAATGAAAAGACAAGCACATGAATGGAACTAGATGTCACTCAGAAGTTATTCCTTTTGTTTTCATGTACATCGATATCCTATTATCACTTACAATTTTAATTTTCTGACAGCTTGTTCTAATAGTCGACACGGAATGAATTGAGTTGAAATCTGTAAACCACATTGTAAAAGAGGCTGTAACGGATTCACTGAACAGTAATTGAAAAGTCATTAAAATTTACCTGCCATTCAGTGACTGAATGCCCATTTAAAAGTCACTTTTCAGTTTTAATTGAAAGGTCTTATTTCTTCCTGTGACAGTATTAAAAAGATATCTCATACACAAGTAATATTTTTACTAAACTTAAATAATTCTTAACTCAAATCATGACTTAAATAAAAAAAAATTCTTTTGATGCACTGAAGTATTGTAATTGTATTTTGAAATTCGGGTAGATTCATGCGGCAAGGACACCCTAATAAAATTTTCATAAATATCTTAATAAAGGGTATGAAGTTAGTATTACGCATAAACATAGCTACAAACCTCAATTTCAAAAACTGAGGCAAAAAAAAAATATTTGAGAGATCTGGACTTTTTATTTTCAAAACAAAGCATGGACTTTGTCTATGTTTACATGAGAACCAATTTGAAAAGTGGCTTGGCTGTTACCAAAGTCAATAGTTGCATCGTTATCGCAGCGAGAAAATTTAAAGTGACAGGTGAAAAAACCAGTGATGCAAATCAAATTCAGGGATCAAAATAAAAGAAAAGTAGCAACAAGAATCTGTGCTTTATCTCAGCACATGGATTCTTCTCTGATAAGAATACGAATTCAGATAACTCTTTACATTAAAAAGGACTATGATTTGGATATGACATCTATGTCAATACAAACTTTATTCTGCGTGTAAAGGTGTTTTCATCTATTCATGAATGTATGATAGATGTTGAATTTTTAGCAATAGAAGTTATTTTCAACCGATCAAGACTATGATCATATCCCTTTAATGGAGCTGTAAAACTAAGCAATAAAAAAATTAGGATAACTTATTGCAATTAATGATGACATTACTACTGAAATTTTAAATCACAAGTAATCATCTGACTAAAAATGATAGAATGCATTCTGAATGATCCGAATGTGAACGAGGTATACATGTATAAGTAAAAAAAGGTTCTGTATTCTTTGTTTTTTCAGTGACTGATGTATCGTCAAATTCCGATCGAAACAACCCATTTTGTTCATATCTGGAAGGAATCCTAGCAGTTCTGGGCTTAAGTCTTATCATAAACATGATTTTAATTTTCTGGTAAGTGTGTTCTTCCGCTACAAAATCTATATCAAGTAAAAAGCGCTCACGGTTACTTGCAAAAAACCTGGATTTCTTATGCTGCAAGCGATCTAAATATGAAATCAGTTCATTTGTGAGTTGTTATAAATTTCCTTTTTTGTGAGTGTGGTTATTTTAGGAGTTGCAGAAACAAGAAAAACAAAGGGCGAAAACACAAGGAGAAAAGAACGAAAGAAGTTTCCCCAGAAAGAGCACTTACGACAGAGCTTTATGAGAAAGTGAGAGCTAACACAGGATACCAAGAGTTGGGTCAATTAAGTCAACCTTCTCATTATGACAAATTACGTTAGCTTGGATTTTTGAAAATTTCATTTTCCTATTTTAACATAAATATTTTGAAACGATCACATTTATTTACTAGTCTATAAATATAATCAAAAGATATAATAGTTTACAGCATCTCTACAATGTTAACTATCCAGAACGTGTTTTAATGTTCTACTAGTATTCGAGTGATATGAAAAGAAAGTATACATGAAGATACAGAGTTTTTTGAACAGAACATGTTTTACCTTGGAGAGAATATTTTACCTTGGAGAGAATATCACTCAATATTACTTTATGTATTTTGTTTCTAATGAACAAAAACTTCTGATAAAATTTATATAGATATAAATAAATAAGTGTTGTAGATCAACTGTTAAAATTACACATGGGAAAACGTCAGTCCCAACCAACGCTCCTATTTTAAACTTACTCTATTTGAGTCAAGATCTTGGTTGCATATTGTGTATCGTGTCATAATTTTGCGATAAACACAACTGAAATATGAATTTGTTTAAACTGTCATTTTCTAAAAGAAAATGAAAAAAAAAAATGTGTGCTATAGAAATAAAATATATCTAGATTTCCTAGTCTCTCAGTAATTACATGTAAATATTCTTGATATCTTCTTTAGAGAAATACCAGATTTAGTATGGGTATCTCGATTCCCTATCAAATGATTTCAAATCGAATGCATAAAAAAGCTTCATTTTCTACACAATTTTATGATAACTGTAAAGTACGGAGAAATGTTGGTTTAATTATGGCGTCATAATTGATCAAAAGAATGCGTTTCCTAGATCCTGGCATTAAGAAGATTTAAGAATCATACATAGTATATCCTGTCAGTTATACTTTACGTCCTACATCAAGCAAATTAGTTACAGTACCATTTTTTCCTAGGTAAACGTAATTATGTCTTAAGCTGTAAACTGAATCAAATGGCCAGGTATAGCACTCAGCATAATTATAAAAATCATCTACCATCGCCAGTTGTTTGCTAATGGTTAAAAACTATAAGAAAAACAAAGGATTGGATTCATTTCGTTTATCAGTTTCAAGCTTTTTACTTAACGAGACTTAAATTGTAATAGTTGTATTTCCCAATGCTCGAGTCATCTTATATGTGGACTATAATCATATCTTAATTTGCATGCTGTTATTTCAGTAGCTAAAGCATAGTTTAATTCAAATACATTTTAGCTGAACATTTAATGCATTTCAATATCTATTTGGGACCTACAAATATAAAGGACTTTAAATCAACATCGTAATATACATGTTTTGTAGACAGGTATTCTGGACATTTGTAGTAAGATCAAATCTGATCTGCACTTTAATGAATACATTATGAATTTCAATTAGATGATGACAGTTAAGCAGTTATTTGTATTCACTAACAGAATTATCTGTAGTTTACTAAAAAAAAAAAGAAAAGAAATCAAATACTTTGATAATTTGATTTACAATGTAAATTTACTCAAAAGTTATTTTTTTTTTAAGATTAAGAGCCCAAATATATATATATATATATATATATATATATATATATATGTATATATATATGTTTGTATGTATTTTAATTTTGAAAATCTCAATATTTTAGATTATTATGGGCAATTTTTGATTTCCAATTTGCTAAGATGGGTAGGCAATATGAAGCCGATATTTTACGTATTTTTTGCCAAACGAGACATTGACAAATTAATTTTTTGAGTTATTCTGATGTCAAACACTGTGTGCTTACCAGAGATATTTATTTCTTTATTGAAAAGTGCTATTTCTATACAAAAAATTAATATATATTTTCATAAAAACCGGGAGAAGTTTCTAGCATGCCCCGGTCTAGCCTGGTTCCGGCCACGCCTATCTATGGCGTTCCGCACTTCTATGCAGAGCATTATGGGTTGGCCGAAACCAGACAAGCCCCGGTCCCCAGAGTCACGCGACTGTGCATGAACAGTTATTATCCTGAAATAAAGAAATGTCAGTTCAGTGGAAGAATATATAGGGGTCCCAAAAAAGAACTCAATTTATAATGGTATACTAGTAATTATCAAAATATTTAACATTTTTTATGTCAATACAACCGAAATTCAATCATCTAACAAATAAGTTGAATAGAGTTATATTTTTCAGGTGACAGAAAATACACATTTTTTGGAGTTTTCATCATTGGTCCGGTTTTATTGACCCAGATTTTCTTAAAACGTGTTATTTAAAGCAACAAAAGCACATTTTACAGAAGAAATGCTTATAAATAGTTAAAATAGAATGTCAGCTTGATACTGCCTTCCCATTTTACCAACTTGGAAATCAAATACTTTGAGAAAATCTAAAATATTGAGCATTTCGGGGCAATTTTACCGCGTATACAAATAAACCTATAACTAACATAACTTGAAAAAATTGGGTTCGATTGATAAAGTATTAAGGCAGAAAATTGAAAAATCTCGAATAACCCCGGCACGGGTTTGCGTACCTAATTTTACCAATACTCGCAGCGAACACCCTGCCACCTAGCGTTATAATGTTGCATTAAATTCGCACTACTTGTATTCGTCTTCGTTGAATGCGCTTCATGGTTTGCGTGACTGAATTTACATTTGTAATAGAGATGACCATAATTATTAATTAAAGAATCTGTATCAATTTAAAAGAAAAAAGAACGTATTTACAAGAATAAAGCAACATAGAAGTAAGGACAAAATGAAGAATGAAAAAAAAGTTCAAAGTGAAATGTAATAAACATGAATATGAAAACAATAAAGTGACATATAGTTACAATAATAACAAGGAATAAAGACGTAGGCAGAATAAGAACAAAAGCAAGATAAATAGACTTTTGGCGGTAATTCCCCTCCATAGTAACTGACGATCTTCAAATTCAAATTCAAGTTCAAGTTCAGATTATTAACCCAAACCAAAATATTGATAATTGGGGTACATTAATGATATATATATATATATATATATATATATATATATATATATATATATATATATATATATATATATATATATATATATATATATATATTATATGCAAAACTGGTCAGAGGTCCATATACAAGTAAAAAAAAATTGACAGAAGATTGTGGAAATAAATAAAGAATACAAAAGAGGAAAATATATCATGGAGGACAGACAGCATCATTAATTTTAAGGATAAACATACATAGTTTTTTCAGTATTCTTTCGTTTTGAGTTGACATTAGTTCCATGAATTCAATAACATTCGGTCTGTGGGAATAACAATTGCCCAAGTAATGTTTCTTACATTAGCTAAAGTTATACATTCCAAGATATAATGAAATTCATCAGCAGTTTGAGTATTATTACAAAGTGCACATATTCTATCACACAGTGGTATGCCATACTATCTTCCAGTCTCTACTAGTAGATAATGATTTGCGGTACGAAATTTTATAAATAACACAATTCAAATCAAAAAGAGAAAATCAAAATTCTCTTTTTTAAATCCGGTTTTTCAAATTTGAAGTCGAGAATGGTCTAAAAGTCAACAATTGTGCCTCTGCAAGG